AGAACCTCGACTCGAGAGGATAAATATAAACAGTCAAATACCAACGACAATCGCCAGTAAAATGATAACAAACAATGTAAGAACTAGAAAAAATAGACTCATTGCTAATACACTAAAAATATATCAAGCTTTTTAGACCAAATGTCCCTTTTTAGCATTACAGATGACATACAAAATAGTATCTGCACATAGTGTTACACATAAGAGAAGAGTAAAGGTGGGAAGAAATGACTACAAATTTACTTAGTGGAATTTGAAGTTGGTCAAGATGTTGTTGTTTACAGGATCAGCCAAATGATCAAGAAGGTTTTGGTAAGGTCCAACACCAGTAACCAAACCTTGAATAAAATAGCCCAAAATTGCTAACATAGCCAATCTTCCATTCTTAACCTCCTTAAGCTTCAAATCTTTCATAGATTTTTCATCTTTTCCAAATCCAAGAGGGTTAAAGAATGGGCCACCCGGGTAAGCCGGTTCGCCGGAGCCGCCTAAGCCTTTTTCCAGGCCCAAGAAGTATTGTTTTCCCATTGAACCAGGCTTGGCCCAATCTTGAAATCTCCTGTGTTCAGCAAAGCCCATTAGTGCCATTTCCAAAACAAACAAAGTGTAATTGTCAGCCCAATAGCTGTATGTTCCAGCTGGTGGGATTACACCAGTTTGGAACCAAGGAATTGCTGTTTCTGGTGGGATAAGACCAGCTTTTCCAAGAATCTCTGGTGCTATGGCTCCTGCTGCTCCTAACATGGCGAATCGCCCGTTGATTATTTCTCCGTATGCTAACCATTTTGGCTCGATGAAACCTCCGGTTCCTTCGGGGTCTGAGAGTCCCAAGGGATCAAATCCATAGTCACCAGGAAGACTGTGAATCAATATACAAGTGAGTACATATCTTGAATAATTGGCCTTAAGATGCATCTGTTGACGAGTTTAACTTATATACACTAACAATGTAAAGAAATGGTGACACTATCAGGTCGTTCAAAAGATATCTATAGGTAACTCTACGTAAAAAGTGGGATTTATAATCTTGAAAATAAGGCAGTTTGTATGCTATAACACGTCAAAGTGACCTAATACTGTAAAAATTCTCTACTCTAACAGTATATATAATTAAGTTAAACTCTTTCTTGATTAATGAATATGTGAACTAAGTTAAGAACAAGGTTATAGAAAGAACTGTATCAAGTTACCCTTAAGTCTCATAGATCTTACCTGCCATCCAAATATGAAAGACTTTGCTTGGAAGCAAACCAAAGAGGCCTATTTGCTCCTTGCTGTAAAACAGAAACCAAGTTAATGTGTGGTCATGTTCAATCATCATATTAACATTATAATTTCACTATCACTACTACAACAACCGGAAACAGCCTCTCTACTCCTCCGGAGTAGGGGTAAGATCTACGTACACACTACCCTCCCCAAACCCCACATGTGGGATCTCACTGGGTTGTTGTTGTTGTTGATGTTGTTATCACTACTACAACAACTACACCAACACATCTGCCTCAATCCCAAATAAGTCGGGATCGAAAACCTTTACTACACCATGTCGCTCCCTTTAAACTCATCGCAATTCAATATTATATAACAAAATTTATAAAGAAAGTACTAGAAGTTCTCAATATTTTTTTACTAACATATAAATTTCTGATATGACTTAAGTAACCTTACTAACATTACTAAAGGTAAATCACAACTACTAGTATTGCCTATAGAGATTAAAAAAAGGCAGTTTGATACGCTAAGCATCCTGTATTCAAGCATGGTCCGGGGAAGGGCAGAATCCTAATGCAAGCATCAGTGGCTGATTCCACAGCTCAAACCCGTGACTTATAGGTCACACAGAGAAAACTTTACCGTTGTTCCGAGGAAGAGGAGAGAAGTTACCTTAACAGGTGGAGTAGAAGCAGCCCTAACAACAAAGGAAGCTTTCTTGGTAGAAGATTGAGAAGGTCTTCCTCCAAGAATTTGTCTGGCATTCTCCACTGAGGAAGTAATAGATGATGAAGAGAGCAATGCTTGTGTTGCCATATTTTCTTTTGGATTATAGTAATGTTAGATTTGCAGTTGAAGAATGCTTTGGAGAAGAAGAAGAAGAATGAACAAAAGGTGGCAAATAAGTGACAAACCAAATGCCACCAAATATTTTTTGGGGCTTAGGGAAAAGTATGAAATTGTGGTGTATATATGAAGAAGATAAAGTTCAGATCTTGTTGCCAAATGAAAAGGAGACACGTGGATTCATTACTCAGATAATAGATATTCTTCGCTCCTAGTCACACAAATGAAATCTCAGATATTCTTGTTGACACATGCCTTCTCCAAGATTCTCCATATGATCAAATCATATTTAATTTACTATTTTTAAGCCTTAAATTAAGGTGAAAGTGTATGTTGGTAGATTAGTACTATGATTTAATGATAAGAATATTGGGTGAAATTCAAAAATAGCCAGATTTACTAGTGGTAATTGAAAAATAGTCACAGTTTCAAAAGTAATCGAAATTTAGCCACTTTCAATGTAAAGATAAATCTGAACAAAAACACTGTTCAAAATCCGGAAAATATTCCACTATAATATACAGGATTTCAGTATAATATACTGGAGTTCCAGCCAGAGGCGGGTCCAGGATTTAAATTCTATGGGTTCAATTTAAATGTTTTTAACATTGAACCTATTATATTTTTAAAGTTATGAGTTCATATCTACTATTTTGCAATTTTAATAGTTTTTTACATACAAATTTTACTCTGCATCAAAAGTTATGAGTTCAGTTAAACCCGTTGGTAATACACAACATCCGTCTCTGGTTCCAGCATAATATACTGGTCCAGCATAATATGCTGGAAGATCATACACGGGTGCTCTAATCTCCAATATATTATGCAGGTAACTTTCCTTGTGTTGGAGTTCCAGCATAATATACTGAAATTTCATACACAGGCGCACCAATCTCCAGTACATTATGCTGGAACTTTCCATGTTGCAGCAAAATAGTGGCTATTTTTCAATGACTTTGCAAAAGCTAGCTATTTTTTAATTACTAATCCGAAAACTGACTAGCCCGTGCTATTTTCACAAGAATAGTATGTTAAAATATGTGTCATGTATTCAGATTGAATTTCATAAAAGGTCATATTACTATGATTTTTTTTTTTTTTATCAAAGTCACATAACTTTGTTTTGTTACAGAAAAATCACAAAGTTAATATACTAGCACAAAAGTTACAATGTCGAACATCGCGACGCATTGTAACTTTTTACTCCACATTTTAATTCATTTTTTATTTTTAATCTAATAAAAACACTGATTCAACTAACATAAAGTAAGATTTGAATTTCCTTTATTATTACACTAAAACTTGTCTGATATAGAGAGGATTCAATAGTTTATACATAACAAAAAAAAAAAAAAAAATTAATTTTACTTTATTTTTGTCGTATAATTTTCTAAAACAACCCTATTAGAATTAGCTTAATTTCAATTTCAAAAGCTAGGTCCTCATTTTGAAAGTTTTCATCCTCCGTTAAAGTCTATATTTGAAAGACAATATTATTTCTGAGGAATCAACTGAATTGGTCAAGAAGTAATGCAGTGTTACGTGTTCAAATTTATTGTCCAATTAAGTGTTTCTTCCTTACTAAACTATATATCAATGAACTAGGTTTCAAGTCTAAATTAGGATTGATTGCATGAAACTATGAATGCTTTGCATCTATTCTTCTCTACTTTAAATTCAGTATTTAAAGGATTAATTATAGTTAAATTATATTTAGGCTAGTCATCAACCTATTACAACCATTACTATGATATTTTCCAATTTGGGTTAAATATACAAAGTTTTTTGTTGGCTATGTAATTTTTTCTTTTAAAGAAACTAGATGTGAAATAAGATCCCCTAGGGGTCATGGGAAGCATACAACACACTACCAACACACATGCAGAGTTACTGGCAATGCTGAAAGGATTGCAAATTGCTGAAGAAAGGCAGTTAAAGCCTCTAGAAATCAACACAGACTCCACAGAGGTAATTAGAATGCTTAACAACGGAAACTTTATTTTTGATTCACTTATCTTTGAACGCAGGTCAATCGTCTAAAGACTAGGAGACGTGGTTGTGAAATACAGCTACAGGGAGACGAACAAAGAAAGTTGCTAACATACTAGCAAAGGAGGGTGCCAAGAAGGATTTTTTTGATAATCTTTTTGTAACAGCAGTTCCTCCGATCTTTTTGGACAGACATTGCAGGAACTGCTTTCTCTAGACAAGTTTTGAACTGTAATAGTACTAATTATGCTCTTAGCGAGAGGAAATTAGTTTACCCCCTAGTAACAATGCTACCGTGCTCTACCCTAGCGGGTAGAACTTATAATGAATGTTGAAATGCACCCTTTAACCTAAAAAAAAAGATCCACCGGGGGAAAATCTCTATTTACATCAGGTAGCCGCTTTGTGGCCTATATTTTAAATTTACCATAATTTAAAAATATGTTGTAAATCTAGCCACCATTGGCTACACAACATGCGACTTCTACTTCCTATCTCCTCTTCTTTTTCCTACGTCTTATTATTTTTCTGCATCTTCTTCTTCCATCCTCTCTTTTTCTTCGTGTATTGTCGTCGTTATTTGCTTCTTTTAATTTAGATTTAAAATTTGACACAAGTACTAAATTGAAATTTAGACCACAGGTGTAACAGTTCAAACTTGAGATTTCTTGTCTGAAGTTAACCTATGGTACTTTGACCTAAAGTTTACTTTTTAGCTAAAACTGCACTAATTTTAAATTTATGGACACAACTTTTAAGAGCAGCCTTAAAAAAGTGGCTATCTATGCAAATGGCTCGAAAAATTCTTCGTAAAAATGAAACCAGATAACCAACTAGGCTACTATTTAGGAATTAGCCGATGCGTCTGAATTTCAGTTTTTCAGTACAATTTTTATCTGAATTGTCCTGAAGTTAAGATTTTTAGTTTAAAAATTTAGGACAAAATAAGTACCCGCTGATTTGTAAATAGCATCCTTGAAAATGGCTGTGTGCACTTGCCTCACATTCTTGAATGAGATCCGACCCGTTTTAAGTTTACTCTGAACACCACAAAAAGGATCCAACGACCACTTACAATCGGGTCGAAATACAAATGATGTTACAGTTACTGAAGCACGGAAGAATTCCGGCGAGTGATCTCTGCCGCCGGTGGATGAGCAGCAGCTGTAGTAGGAAAACTACGGTAATGAGCTTCGGTGATGGAAGCCACGGGGCATTGGGCTTGCCGTCGTCCATCATTGGTATGGGCTCCGACGCTTACGAGCCCACTCCTATTCCGGGCCTTCCGCCCGATGTTGTTACCATCGCCGCCGGTCACTTCCACTCCCTCGCCGTTACTTCTGAGGGCCATGTTTGGGCTTGGGGTCGTAACAATGAAGGCCAGCTTGGCCGTGATCCTCTTTCTCCAAGGTTGAGATTATATTTTAGATTATATCAATCAATCAAATATGCCTCAATCCTAAATTAGTTGGTCGAATATATATATGAATCCTCTGTATCTATCAGCTTTAATAAAGGAATTTTCTCACGAATTCGGTATCTTTTATGATGGTATAAAAAATATTTACACAATTAGGTTACTTAAAGGTAATTGTAGCTATTTCTGTTTAATAGCATTGATCGGTAGCCTAAAATAAATGGTACTAACTTTCTCTAGCATGTTAAATTACACTAATAGTGTAAAAAGTTGATTACAATCAGTGTAAAAATTCTATTTATACATGTGTTTATATATGTATATATATCTACTGATAAGTGACTCTGTTATTTTTCATTGTGGCTTCCTATGAGAAAGTATGTGAAAAATGAGAGTGTTTATGTGCCAATGTGCTTGGTTTCTCTATGTAGTTGGTACTCCCTATGTCCTAATTTATGCGATGTTGTTTGACTGGACACCAAGTTTAAAAAACTAAGCGAAGAATTTTGAAACTTGTGGTTTAAAACAAACCATAGACATTTGTAGAGCTTAAAATCATCTCATTAAGGGTCAAATGAGAAGTTTGAAGTTAATGTTTCTAAATATAGAAAACTGTCATTTTTTCTGGAACAAACTAAAAAGGCAAGTGTATCCCATAAACACGAGGATAGAGGGAGTAGTATATAGTTGGTAGAAAATTGTTTATTTTGTTATATCAATTAACTTACTCTGTGTTGATAAAAAATTAGTTGTAGTTGGGTACATGAATCCTCTATATCTACTCGGGTTTATTCAGGAGATATGCCTCCATGCATTTTGACGTTGAGAGGATTGTTAAACTATTTTTAGGTTCATCATTGATGTATTGCAATCTGTTCAGAGAAATTAGTCATTAAACTCTCATCTGGTAATATCTTTTTTATGACAATGCTAGCAACTTATAAGAGGTATTTAAGCTGAAGATTAGTATATCTTAATGTACTTCCTGATGGCGTTTTCTCTTCGAATTTATGTGAAGAGGAAAGATCATTAAATATCAACATAAGCGCGTCATAAGCAGAGGGCACAGTTATAACAGATGAAAGACAGCTTTAGACAGGAGGCTATTCATCTATGAGTTTCGAGGTCATGTGAAATTTCTTATTCTCATTGACTCCATGTTTTGGAATACCTACAGAAGGGTTATCTTCCAAGGCAATTAACTTGCATTTATGTCGGTGGAAAACTCTGAGGATTGCTGCTTCTTATATCTAGATGACTAACATTCCAAGAGTCTAAGTGTGCCCAAATGATGATCCTGACAATCTGATGTATGGAAACCACTAAATTCTTTTAGAATTTTGCAACGAAGAACAGTAACAGGTTAACCAGCCAATAGCTTATTCCTGAAGGGGTCGTTGGTTACAGGGATAAGAATAAGAATCTCGGGATAGAATTTGGATTGTATTTATCCCATGTTTGGTTATAGGTATTAGTTAATCCCTGGATAAGTATTACACTAAAATGGTGGAATTAGCTATCCCATATAGATGGTGAGATAGCTAATCCCATGGGATATCCTTGTTTATCCCACCATTTTACCAAACGACCCCTAAGGTCATCGTACCTGTAAAAAAATAATCCATGATAATGTCGAGTTGTCGACAGTATAAAATATCGTCACCGCACCAAAAATAGAGTTTATTTCTTTCAAATGTTTTTTTTCTTTCTTCCTTTAGATTGATTTGTGCTAGAGTTCTTACAGTATCCTCGCTTATCTCTATTTGTTTGTTTATGAATGTCCATGCAAAAGTTTCTTTCTTTTCATTTCTGTGAATTAAAAATGTCAGTAGAATTTGCACTCTTGACTCTATTAGTTATCTTGGTTCTAATGACAAAAAACTAAGCCCTGCTTTATGCTATGCCGGGTAGCCAGATGATTGAGACTTTCTCTTATTGCATACTTTCTGTATTCCCCAAGAAACTCATGTTTCCCCCTCTATCCTATTTCCATCTTCTATATTTTTCTCCATTTACTTAGTGCCAGGTGGGAGTGGGGGGTTATCGGGTGTTTGTATCGCTAACATGGAAATCCTTTTTCCAAACTTGTGCAGAGAATCATGGAGTGAACCGAAATTAGTAGAAGGATTAAATAAAGTAAGAGTTCAAGCTGCTTTCGCATCAGGTGCCATTTCTGCTGCCATTGGGGACGATGGGTCTCTGTGGGTTTGGGGAAGTTCCAAGCGCGGGCAGCTTGGTCTTGGCAAAGGAATCACCAATGCTGCCTTACCTTCCAAAGTTGAAACACTTTCTGGAGAAGAGATAGTTAAGGTGGTCATCCAATCATGCTTAAGGTAGAAAAAAGTTGTACTTGTTAACAAAAATAGGTGGAAAAAGTTTTAACTGAAAACACAATGATACAGTGTGCAACAATAATAACCAAGTTTAGGTGAATAGTGTTCAATTGTTTAACAGTTATTTTTGTAAGCGTACGCATGTTGTCAATTCATTTGGTATTGGCAGGTCTCATTAGGTTGGGGGCATGCTCTTGCGCTGGCTAAGGATGGGACTTTGTTTGGCTGGGGATATTATTCAGATGGTAGAATAGGCAAGCTAGGAAGAGAATTGGAGATCTCTCCACTAGAATCAAATAGTACTAAACTAATATCAAGAGAAGAATCTTCTGCAATTGAAGCTGCTGAGAAGTCAGTCATGGAAGCCATTGAGAAGGAAAAGGACATGCCTATAATTTGGGAGCCCGGTTCAGTTGAGGAGCTACATGGGTTAAAAGTTGCTGATGTGGCTTGCGGACTCGATCATTCTTTAGTCCTTTGCCGTAAGTCACATTCTTTGATGTCTATATACTTGAAATGTGCATGAATATGTGGTGATGGTGGTTTTTATTTTCTAATATTAGGTGATGGGGCATTATTTAGTGGTGGAAGCAATGTGTATGGTCAGTTAGGAAGAGCGAACAAAGACTTGGGAATGCGACTAGTTGATATACACTTCCGTCCTGTCTCTATAGCTTCAGGTTTAGGGCATTCTTTGGCAGTTTGTCATGGTGCTTCATCAGAAACAACAGAAGATGCAACAAGTGTTGTATCTTGGGGATGGAACCGAAGTTCTCAACTTGGAAGGGAAGGTCCCGAGCACATCCCTCAGGTTGTTGAAGGGCTCTCTGGCGAGACGCCTATTTCTGTGTCAGGAGGTCGGGCACATTCCCTAGCGCTCACAGCTAAGAAAGAGGTTTGGGCTTGGGGCTGTGGGAAGAATGGGAGGCTTGGGTTGGGCAGCTCGACTGATGAAGTGGAACCTATGTTGGTTGAATATTTGGAAGGTTCTGAAGTAATTCAAGCTGTTGCAGGCTTGGATCATAGTCTTGTTCTGGTTGCTGAATAATGCAGTGAGAAATACTGAGTACATATTTGTAATTCTTCCTGAAATTTCTTACTTCTGTTTGTTTTAGCTTCACTTGCTCTACTTCAATAAAATGGTAGAACCACTTGAGTTTGCCGTCTAACATTAGCTTTAATATTGTCATTTGCTGATGAAGTTGTAATTGTTTAATCATGAAGGGAACTTCCTTGACATTTCTGCTTTTCCCATTTTGGGTTGTATATTGCCCCCATGATCCATTATCTACATTTCTTAAAACTGTTTTGTTCTGAAATAAATCCATCAATACAACAACATACACAATGTGATCCCACAAGTGGGGTCTGGGGAGGGTAGTGTGTACGCAGACCCTACCCCTACTTTATGTAGGTAGAGAGGTGGTTTTCGATATAAAGATAAATCCATCAATCTGAAGATTTATTCTAAAAATTTATAAGCGCCGTCAAGGAATAAATTTTTGCTTCCAAAAAAAATAAAGAAGTAATGCTTGGGAAGTTGTTCTCAAATATTAGTATGTTTTTCCCTTGAATGGGGGAAAGCATCCTGCTAATGAAGATATAGGGTATGATCCTACAAAACAGGTGCGTCGTCTTCATCATCCCTCGGACTGGTTGATGAGATTTTGGACAATTGATATGAGCGAACATTTGGAATCATGAAACTGTCTGTACTGGCTCGTCCCGAGTGCCTCTGTGCTGGTTCGTCCCGAGTGCCTTTGAACGAACTGAAAGGCCTCTCTTCAACTCTCTAGGTTCAAAAGTTTGCAGGGCTATCATCTAACTGTTTCTCATCTTCTATATCCACCTCCAAGATTTCCTGAAAGGCCAATAAAAAAAAAATCAATGAATAAAGTAGGGGGAAAAGGCAGTTCGGTGCACGAAGCATCTCGTGTTCACGTAAGGTTCGAGGAAGGGCCGCACCCCCAAGGAGTGTGATGTAGGCAGCCTATGCTGATGCAAGCATCGGTGGCCTATCTCACGGTTCGAACCCGTGACCTATAGGTCACACGGAGACAATTTTACCTTTACTCCAAGGCTCCCCTTCAATGAATAGAGCAGGCTACTACTAAAAAAGTTAGTCACAAAGATGAAAGACATAAACACCACTAATTGAGGAAATTAACACTGATAATTTTGACATTCCATTAAATGCTCACTGGAATTCTTTGCTTCAAGTAATTGCCAAGTCTTGCTACAACAGTAGAACGTTTATGCCAAAACTTGCCACTTAGTCTAAGCTTCACATAAGGTCCATCCACTTCTGCTAGTTCTGCTTTCCCTGTACATTTTATTTCCTCTTGTTAATACAAAATAAAAAATAAAAATAAAAAAGTAGCTCGTTGCACTAAGCTCCCGCTATGCGCGGGGTCCGGGGAAGGGCCGGACCACAAGGGTCTATAGTACGCAACCTTACCCTGCATTTCTGCAAGAGGTTGTTTCCACGGCTCGAACACGTGACCTCCACGTCACGTGGCAGCAACTTTACCGGTTACGCCAAGGCTCCCCTTCATAATACAAAAAGGGAGACTAATTTAAATTCAATTATTCCTTTGATGAGAAATCACCTGTTATCCCAACTGAAGTATCAAAAAGTTGTGCCAACTGCAGAACCCAAAAAAATGAACAAATAAATACAAGTAAAGAAGATTAATAAAACCGGACCCAAGAAATGAATCTTAATATATCCAGTTCAATATTCAAAGAAAACTATTGATATATCATCCAAACTGTGGCCCAACAGTCAATGAATAAAGTAGGTGAAAACCATAGCAGATAAGGATCTAAATATTGTAATGCCTAAAAAATTTAAGTGATTTATTTTTATCTGTCTAAGTTTAATGGACAGAGTTATATGTTACATGTCTTCGTGCAGAGGTGAAGCTAGGATTTCAAGATAGCGGGGCACATGAGCGGACTGCTCAACCAGTGCCCCATCAAACTTTTGATCTTAAGGATTCCAGGCAAAATATATAACCGTTTCCAATATATATGCACGTTATCGGGTCCGATGACCCCTCTTCTCTGCACATAGGTCCGCCTTTGTCCTCGTGGGAGGTAGTACGTAGCCAGTGAAATAGGTCGAGGAACACGCAACATAAAAAAAAAAAAAAAAAAATTTTAATAATTTACCTCAGCCTTAGCATCTTCTAAGACTTGATTGATGTTTTCTTCGGTCAAATCAAGAGATGAAAGTGAAGCTGATAATATATGCCTTCTTTTACTTAGTCTTGATGATATTCTTTGACTTTTTACCCTTGTTATTGCCCCATTTAGCTTTGAAACAGATAGAGTCTGAAAATTTGGTAGTAAAATAGAAGCAGAAGTGAATTTAGATAAGCGTTGTAGATGGCAGTGGTGAAGTTTCAGTGCCATCTTTTCTCTTGTTTTTCTTTCCTTTTGCACTTTGTTATCCCTTCTTTTTCTTTCAGATTAAATTTGTGGCTAGTAGCTATTGACTTAAGAAAAAAGCCTTTTCCTAACCACAAAAATAAAAAATAAAATAAAATTTCTTATCCTTGCAAAATTGCAAAAATGTTTATGTCTCTTTTACAAATTTAGTTCAGCAGTGTCTGTATATTTATGGGATTTGGCTGCGAACACGCCTCGGGTAAATTACGGGGTATTATCACTTTTAGCCCGCGCCAGAAATTATTTATATTTGCTGTCGAAAAGGTTTATAAAATTTGTATATAACATACATAATGTATATATATACAAAAAATATACAAATTTTATGCAATTTTTTGCCTATTATTTTTACAGCGGCTATACAGTTTCATTTTTCCGTAAATTAATGTAATTTAGTATAAATATACGATGAGTAAATTTTTCGTCGACCTCATGCCCATCTATTAGATGCAAAATTAAGAAGTTTTCTCCTCTTCTTTTCTTTCAATGTTCATGTTCACGAGCTTACTTACACAAATAAAATCTTTAAAAAATAATACTCATTATTTTTCACAGTTGGATTACTCAATTTAAGCAAAAATATGCTTACTGACACTGCTGGAACTCCAGTATATTATGCTGTAACTCTAGTATATTATGCTTGAATATTTTTCGAATTTTGAACAGTGTTTTTGTTTAGATTTATCTTTACATAAAAAGTGGCTAAATTTCGATTACTTTTAAAACTGTGGCCATTTTTCAATCACCACTTGTAAATCTAGCTATTTTTTAATTTCATCCCTTTTTACTTAAATACAACATTAGATTTATGTCTTGCCACAGTTCGAACCCGCAACGTATGTTTAACCAATACATCACGCGTTGTAATTTTACCTAAGAGATCAAAGCCCTTGGCCTCTATTATGAAATTAAATTTGAGCATAATTACCTTATATTCAGGGGTGAATTTATAGCCCCAATCATGGGGTACGTGAACCCGTGGTGTCACCGTCAAACTAGATATTTTACGTACGTATGTTTTAGAATTAGTCTAATATAATCTGTTGGCACCCATGTTCCAAAAAGATTAAATGGTGCACTTGGTTGAATATTGGGTTATTTATCCCGAGGGACAGGGATCGATTTCCACTTAATATTTTTTTTTTCCTATTTTTCTTAGTGGTGCACCCATATTCAAGAAATCCTATATCCGTCTCTGCTTATATTAAAAAACTGCTCATTTGCTTATATTAAGGAATTCAACTTCTAACATTAATTAACAATGAAATTGACTATATTAATCTTTACTATCTCTTTAATTTGTTCATTGATATATAACATATGCTTCAAGACTCTTTACTTCAAGGGTAACTTTGAAAAAAAAAGGAGTTAACTCCTTCTTGATAACTGAAAAAAGCAAATATTGTGGCCACAAAAAAAATCAAAATTACAGTGGATGACTAAGGAAGTATGCTACTCTCTCCGGTCCACAATAAATGATTTTCGGTTGTTTTCACACAGATTAAGAAATCCACCTTTTAACATTAATTAGCAATGAAATTAACCATATTAACCTTTACTATCTCTTCACATAAACACTCGTAACACATACTCCATCACTATTTACTCCAAATTTCACATCAGTTTTATTTCCACCTGTTTTCTATCATATTCTTTCCCAAGGAGAAAATTTACTGATTGCAGCAAATTATAGCAGTTCTCTGCATATCTCCAAGAAACAAAGATTTATATCTTTAATATTCTCCATAAATGCATTAATTGGAGGATCTAAAGGGCAAACTGGCTCTTGTTGTCATTATGGAAAAAAAGATTTCTATATATGTTCTCCATAATGCATAGTCATACCAATAATGAGGTTGCCTTAATTTGTTGCATAGAAATGTGTGGCAAGTTTTGATATGCATTAAATGCCACACTACCCAACTTCTTATCTAAGCTCATTATTAATAAGTAGTTGACATCTCTCTTGAATTTCTCTCTCACTTTCTCCATTACCATTATCTTTAGTCAAAGTATAGACGGGGCGGAGCTACAGTATTAGTTACGGGTTTGGTGCTGTAATGGGGTCACCACAAGGCCTAGAGGATGAAAATGGTAGCAGCAGCAGCAGCAGCATGCGCACGGCTGAGACAATGCTGCGCTTACTGCCCATGGCACTATGTGTAGTGGCTCTTGTAATCATGCTCAAGAACTCCCAAACCAATGACTTTGGTTCCCTTTCTTACTCAGACCTTGGAACCTTCAGGTAACTATTTCCCTATAATTTTAAGTTTTTTTCGGGGCAATTTGGTGCACTAAGCTCCCGCTATGCGCGGGGTCTGGGGAAGGACCGGATCACAAGGTTCTATTGTACGCTGCCATACCTTGCATTTTTGCAAGAGGCTGTTTTCACGGCTCAAACCCGTGACCTCCTGGTCACATGACAGCAACTTTACCAGTTACGTCAAGGGTTCCATTCATGATAAGCAATATCGTAGCCACCTTAGTTTTACTAGAAAATTACGTTGTGTAGCTAGGTCATTTTTTTTTATGTATATATGTTATATGTTGAATCCAATTAGCTTATTCGTGTGTTTACTTCTTTATATTTTAACACCCCTCAGTAAATTCTTGGCTGCGGCACTAATGATAACATTAGTGATTAGACTGGCGAACTCGGTAAATTAGTAAAATCAATGGAAATCATCTGTATATGTAAAATCATCTTACTTTCTGAATTTTCTTATACTTTCTTGAGATGGCTATTAGCCTTCTTTTATATATCCCAATGGAAATTCTTTTTTGTTATAAAAAAAGTCTGCAATTTGGCAAAAATTGAACCAATGGTTGGTTTCCAACTTGTAAATTAAATAGCAACTTGTATAATGTTATCAGAGGAAGAGCTATGATTTGAACTTTAAGGGTTCTAAATTTCAGGATAGCGACATACGGTGTAAGTAATTGGGTTCGGAACTTTATTTTTGTACATATTTAGTGAAATTATTAATACAAATATAGAGTTTGGACAAAAGCTACTGAGTTCGACCGAACTTGTACTTCAGCCTCTAGCTCCGCCCCTGAATGCTATGAAGTTGAAATGTTTGAATGTGCTGCAGGTACCTAGTACATGCTAATGGAATTTGTGCAGCTTATTCCCTTCTATCAGCTATAGTAGTAGCTGTTCCTCGTCCTACAACTATGTCTAAAGCCTGGACATTCTTCCTCCTTGATCAGGTTCTTTTCCCATTTATAAGTACAACAAACGTCGATCTTATTCAAGTTTTAAAAGCATTCGTGCATCGATTAGACAATAAGTCTTTCTTTCGAGTTTAACATTTATACACTGACAGATCTTGACGTACGTAATATTGGCTGCTGGAGCTGCATCGACGGAGGTGGTATATTTGGCGTATAAAGGTGACACGGCTGTTACATGGAGTGAAACATGCGGTTCATTCGGAGGTTTCTGCAGAAAGGCCACAGCATCTGTTGCCATTACATTCATGGTAGGCATTTTCTATGTAGGGATTTCTCTGTTTTCCTCCTACCGACTTTTTAGAAAATATGATGCACCAATTGGGGACTATAAGAACAAGGGAGGAATTGAAATAGCTACTTATTGAGATGAATATTAGATGGTCTATGTATCAAGATATCCATTGTATTGATAGCTAAATGAGTACTGTCTAATTTTTGGTTGCACTGTCCCAAGTATACTGCAGAATGTAATAAACATTGACCTAAACTTGTTGCTTCAATTCAATATCATTTGTCATCCTCTCTATTTGTTGACTTATTAAACCTTGTCTTCTATCATTGCTGCATATGGGTAAAAAGAAGGGTATCCCGATGCACAAGGCACCCCGCGTTCACGCAGAGCCCAGAGAAGGGCCGCACCCCAAGAGGTGTGATGTAGACATACCCTAATGCAAGCATTGGTGACTGCTTTTACGGCTCGAACCCGTAACCTGTAAGTCACACGGAGACAACGATACCGCACCCTAAGGGTCGTGATGTAAATAACCTACCGCAATGCATATATTAGTGGTTGCTTGTACAGCTCAAACTAGTGGCGGAGGCAGGATCTCCACGAAGGGGGTTCACAAAAAACTTTTTGTAGCTAGTGGGAATTGAACCTACGACCTTATGAAAGTTTTGAACTCCCTTGACTACTAAGCTACAATTTTGAGTTGTGTTAAGCAGGTTCAAAACTTAATATATAGAGGTAAAAAACATATTTTGCCTTATATATACAGTGTAATTTTTCGGCAAAGAGAGTTCGAATGACCCCCTTCCGCCCCCTAAATCCGGCACTGGCTCGAACCCGTAACCTATAGATAGGGGTGTCAATGGATATTTGAAAACCGACTAAACCGACTGAACCGTACCGCACCGAACCAATTTTTAGGTTTCTTTTAAAGAACCGTAGGTTTTTATATAAAATCTATAATCGTACCGATAATTAGGGTAGGTTTTTTATTTTATAAAAATAAACCGAAAAAATACCGAACCGTACCGAATAAATTTTACATGTGGAAAATATATTTATATAGTAAGTTTAAAACTAATAAAGCATTAAATTTTTTATTGGCCCTTGGAATTATGAAAACTGTTACAAGCCAATAAGTAATTAAACTCAAAATACTAATTCCTAAAACCTATTTGCTACTTATACTTAAACTAAGTTATTTCAAGTATCTTTATTAGCAAGACACAAAGTATTCTAGCGATTATGAGTAGCAAACTACAATGTATTGAATATGTTTCCTTTCATATAATTTAGATTTATCTTTTTGAATATTTAATATAAATTTTATTCTTGAGTCCCAGCTTGGTTAATATCTTTCCACTCGTGTGATTTATGTTCTTTGCTTTTACTTGGTTTCCTTTACGTTGTTGTCGAATAGTTGTGTATCTCTACTCTAGCCATCTTTCATGTTTTTTGATTCGTCACCCTTTAAACAGTAAAAATGTCTAGAGAGTTTGTTAAGTCCTATAAAAGAATGTATGTTATTGCATTCTACTTTTACTGGTGAATTTTACATGACATTTAAAAAAGAGTTAATACCTTAATACCCCCTCAAACTATCACGTTTTTATCAGTTTCCTACTTAAACTATTCTGTGTCCCCAAACCCCTCCAGAACTATATTGTTCTTCATATCTAAACTCCCTCGTTGCTCACCTGGCATAATGTGTGTACACACTCGCTTGGGAGCGTGTGGCGGCCGAAAAAGCCATCAAAATAGCCCACCTGACATAATATAATGGCTAATTAGCCTAACCATCTTTCAACTTTGTTTTTATTTTAAATATTCTCCTTATTTCCTTTATATCCACCATTCTTCCTTATTTTTCGCCTTTCTTTATTATTTTTTCACCTTCTCCTTCCATTTTTCTTCAATTCTTCATATGGAATCCCTCTAAAACGATTTCTCCCTCTCTTGTTTCCTCCGAAATAATTTATTTTCTTTCTTTCTTAGTCTTCTTTCATATCTTTGATACATATGAATACCCATTAAAACCTTCTTATTAAATCAACACCTTGTTGTAGAGAATAAAGTTGAATCTCTTACATCTTATTTGTGTAATTTAGAATTATAAAATGTAGTTGTTGGCCGATTAATTTCTTATTTGCAAAATTTTATTCTTATTTATGTGATATAAGATGATTTATCATAAATGCTACACTATATGCCTTTATTGTTTTTATTGTGCTGGAAAGTGAATGTAAATAAGAAATTATTCAATTAGAGTCTAGTATAAAGTACAACCACAGTTAAACCTAAAGTTAACCCATTACATTAGATACTATTTTGGCCAAATTAAACTCCTAAAATATCAGTCATTCGAGAGTGAAATATAATGGATAAACTACATAAAAAATTTACTACAAATTATAAGTTAATATAGTTAGATAGATGCACATCTAAAAATTCGACATAAGGTTCTAATATATAAGGGAATATAGTTCTAGGGGGTTTTGGGGGCATTGGATAGTTTAAGTAGGTAACTGACAAAAAATTATAATTTATGGCGGTTTTAGGCTGGGCTAAATAGCCACGTGTAGTGCCACATGGCAAATTTTTTAGATAATTTAGCCCGTGTACTAGACGCACCTCTAAGAATGCAACAAGGAGGTTTTAGTACGAAGGGCAATATAGTTTAGGGGGACTTTGGAGACACCGAATAGTTTAAATAAAAAACTGACAAAAATATGATAGTTTAGGGGTCTATAAAAGAATACCGAAATTTAACCGAACCGTACCGATACCGAAGTGAAACCGACATGATTGGGATGATTTCGAAAAGTCTAATTTTGGTTATATATAATAGAATAACCGAAAAATTGGTATTGTACAACTTTTATAAATAACCGGCCGAACCGAACCATTGACACCCCTACCTATAGATCACACGAAAACAGCTTTACCGCTACTCCATCACTGCATATGGGTGCTCCCCAAAGCTAGCTGTTACAAAGCGGTAAACTATATTAACTCGGCACATTTCTATTCAGATTCTATAAGCTATGGACCTTAAACCTATCTATTTACAGCCAAGTTTTATCTTAGCAAATAATGTATATCACGTTGTTATGTCCCAATTTCAAGTAAACAAGCATCAGTTATATGTATTCTCACATAATCTAATGTTACATAAAATAAAAAGGCATTAGGAAATTCTCTATAATATCTAATTCACGAGAGGATTTATTTATGGGAAGAAGGAAAAAAGGGAAGACGAGAAAGGGAGAGATGAAATAGATCTTTACTGGAACTTCTGCTATGTATGTAGCTTTAATGAATTAGTCAGTTAGCTTAGGCAACATCAAGATTGAGTAGGGATATGTGCAAAGTTGCAACCTTAGTTCCATACTAATTTTGGACTAAAGAAAAGTAGTACAAAGCATATACTAAAACTTACTCTTTTTTTTTTGAGAGTGCAAACTTACCACTACAACAACAACAGCCGCCCAGTGAGATCCCACAAGTGGTATCTGGGGAGGGTAGTGTGTACGCAAATCTTAGCCCTACTCCGGAGGAGTCGAGAGGCTGTTTCCGGTAGAAGAGTGCAAACTTACCACTATGCAAATAAAATGAAAAATCACATTCACAAGGAAATGCAAAGTTACGAAGGTTTTAATATACCAAATGTTGCACAAGATCTTGTTTTAAATTTGAGCTTTCCACATTACTCAACCATAGTGAGCTTACATTGAACTTGCCAATGCGCCCACAAAGAAAGCCCATGCTGAAAGGTTACAACACAAAATGGCCACACGAGAAAAGCATATTTTTTTACCATTGCTAATAGCTATTACATGCTAAATTTGTACTTCCATAGGAAAAGGACTCGCTGCCTTTCTTAATCAAGAATTGGTTTCAAGCATCACCGAGCTTCATACTGCACAACTGCACCAAACAACTTTAGCCTTAGCACACAGTAATACATGTAGAAATAAAGAAGGCTTAAGAAGAAAAAGCACAGAGAATAAAATACTGTAGGTTGGATTGGATCCTAATGGCAAGAAAGTGGAGAAATGTTTCGAGACGGTGTTTATATCCTGATTTGTTGTAACATTGTCAATAAGACCTTGAGATCTTGTACCGAGTAATGGTTCATTTAACTTCAGAATCTCTAGATTTAGAAAAAAGGAAAGCAAGTATAGGCATACCAATTAAATCATTTTAGGACTAGAACTCCCAAATTTATCTTACTGCTCTTTCAGGCTATCACAGTTGCTATCAACCAAAAAAAGAATTGCAAATCACAATCCAGTGGAGGACTTAGAGCACAGAAGTGGATGCGCTCACCTGCTACCTTTAGGAAGAGTTGAACGATTTTAAAGTACAGATATGATTACACTTTATACTAAATCCAAATCTATTGCCTCAAAAGAGCAGTAGGTGTAACAGTAGTACTTCACATCCTTTAATATAAACTCCTGGATTCGACTCTGAAACATTTGAACTGGGGCTCTTTCATTAACTGATACAAATATCAGTAGTCTGCAATATTTTTTCTTGACAGAGAAAAAGATAAGGAATTGGATCCATGTGCACTGATTCATTATTTGGGAGCATTACCAAAGTGTGCCTCCACCATTTACTCACAGCGTGTAGACCATTAGCAACAGTCAATGCCAAGTGAGCACATGTATATACAGTTTAAAGAACCAAGTCATGTCTTATACCAGATTTCAACTGGAAATTCACCTAAAATGCTCCAAAAGAAGAAAAAAAAAAAAAAAGCTAATTCGCCAAGAAGATGATTCTCGAACAATATGCTACAGTTATCTGCAAACATATTCAGTTTTATCCACCAAAATTTTGTTGCTATTTAACTTTATTTCCTGACAGTCGACTGCCAACCACAACTAGCCAAACAATTAATCAAGACAGCTATAAGTCTACAACACTAAAAGACACTAACATACTAACGACACTGTATGAGGCAAAGAACTTAAAATGCAATTTAGTTGTTGACAAGTTCCATGGTTATCTTTTTCATTTAGCAAGCATTACTCAATAAACACAGTAAAAATAGTCATAAAACCACAATAATGATCACATAATTCTAAGACTACTAAACCTTTTTCTGAGAGTTCTCTTTAACAACAATTCAACCATAAATGAAATTTGTGTTGGTGGGAGGTAGAGGCATTCAACGGAATTATTTAAGGTGCGCGCAACCTGGCCCGAACACCACCACCATTAACAAAACAACTACTAGTATGCCTCAATCCTAAACAAGTTAAGGTAGGTGCGTGAACTTGCTCAGATTGCCGGTCTCAAGCCCAGATAAAGAAGGACGGTAGCAGTAGTCTGACAGCTAGCGTAAAACTTGGCAATTTCAGGACGAATCCTAAATTCAATGATTTCTTAAATTAAAATCTAGGTGTTTTGGTCAGCTTGTTACACTAAATAAACTTAATTTATTTTTGTAACATGGTTCCCAGACAAGCTAGGGCGAACGAATCCCTAAATCAAGTGATTACTAAATAACACATAAAATTAAAAAAAAAAAGTAGATTAAAGGGTAAAAAAGTGTTAGAGAGAGAAAATTAAATACTTCTGCGGGTTCGTTTCTTGTAGAGAATACGATAACCACATTCACGGCACTGTATCACATCACCGGGCTTTAGGGTATTCTCCTGTCCACAATCTGCAAAATCCAATGATAAAGCTCGTTAAACCAAAACCAAACAACAGGGCAAATATGAAAAATTAGGCAATAAATAGGTTAGGTTACCTCCACAGATGTAGCTGACGGGTTCAACAGGTTGAGAATCCATTAGTAATATCAACAACTATTAGCAGAGAAAGAGCTGAAGACCAAACAGGGCGAGAGAGGGCTTTTGGAGGGTTTGTAGGGTATATATAGAGCGTTCGTACACGGGCTTGGACCGGGTCATTATCCGTCCACTTTATTAACAGTATGGGCCGAGTTGGTGAAGAAGAGATGGATCCAGCCCAGCTCATGACCCCTAACCACTTTATTGGATTGGATTTTGATTAACTGGTTTAGCTTCCGTTCATAGATTTTGGCTAATTCTTTTGGTAAAAATTGCACGGGGCGCCCTATTTGGTCGCCCCCATTTAATCTATACCCATTTTTTTTTAAAAGTTTTAACTTGTACCCACTTTTTAAACAACTTCAGCACCCTTTCTCCTCCTCCTTCTCCTCCTTCGTTTTCTTCTTCTTCTTCTTCTTCTTTCTTCTGCTGCTGTTGGTGCTGCTATGAAACTTTAGTTCATATGATGATTGTCATAAGTATGTTTATCATATTATTTAAAAACAAATTATAAATAATTACTTAAGTTAGTAGACAATAATTTGTGAATATTTCCACGTAGGGGAAGTTTAAGGTCACACTTAGTGATTCTTTTCATGATAATTCTGTTCTTTTTACATTTATTTGTTTCCAAAATTTTATGATTTAGATACTGTTGGCAATCTGATTATTTTATAGTAGTCTGATTATAACAAAACTAATGAATCCAGGACAAAAAACACTTCAGCTTATTTAGTGCTGAAGTTTTTACAAATGAACTAAATAACCTCAGCATCTTCTGCTGAAGTTTTTGAACAAGCTTTATGACAAAACCTAGTGAATCCAGGACAAAAAAACTTCAGCTTATTTAGTGCTGAAGTTTTTACAAATGAACTAATAACTTCAGCATCTTCTGCTGAAGTCTTTGAAAAAGCTTATCCAGGACAAAAAAAATTCAGCTTATTTAGTGCTGATGTTTTTATAAATGAACTAAATAACTTCAGCATCTTCTGCTGAAGTTTTTGAAAAAGCTTAATGACAAAACTAATGAATCCAGGACAAAAAAAACTTCAGCTTATTTAGTGCAATTACAAACAAAAACTTCAGCAAATAGAGAACAAAATTTCGGCTACTATGCTTAATTTCAGCATTTACAAAGAAATACAAACAAAAACTTCAGCAAATAGAGAACAAAACTTCAGCTACTATGCTTAAGTTCAGCAATTACAAAGAAAAACTTCAGCAAATAGAGAACAAAACTTCAGCTACTATGCTTAAGTTCAGCAATTACAAACAAAAACTTCAGCACACTTGCTACTTCAGGCCCGTCTATTAGAATGCTGAAGTTTTGCGTGATTGCCTTTGCTACTTCTGCCCCGTATGCTGAAGTTACACGAAAAAGTGGGTACGCTTGCAATTTTTTTTTGCAAAGCGGGCACAAGTTAAAACGTGACCCAAAAAGCGGGTATAGATGCAAATGCCCCATTCTTTTGGGACTTTTACCTAGTTATGCTATATTAGAAACTTATTTACCAATGTTCTCTATGTTTTGTAGTTTTTAATAATTATCTAGGTTTTTCTTACAAATTGTGTAGATTGCTCCTTAAAAGGCTCTCACCCATTATTAGTGTCTTCAACTAAGGGATTCAATTATATCCTTTCCTTTTTTTTTCCCTCTCCTCTTCTCTCTCCTTTTTTTTACAACAAAATTCCTTAATCTACGCCCAGAATCTCCATATTCTCTCTTCCTACCATTACCGATAATTTTATATTATTAAATCATCAATTGCATCGTTCTTATGCTGGGAGATCGGACAACACTGAAAATGAAGAAATATTCAGGAATTGTATGATAAATGTATCATAATTGTATTTAAATTGTATTAGATACATCAATACGTAAAACGTAATTGTATCATACTTATATCACAATTGTATATAACTTGTAGATGGTATATTAATATCCAAAATAATACCTAATACAATATTAATTAATTAAATATATAATTATCATATATTTGTGATACAAACTGTGAAATTCGTCACGATCTCACAACTGCTCATAATTCAAATACAAATTTGATACAATCCTGAAAGAATTCTTACACAATTCTGATACAATTATGATACAACTTAAAACCGACTCTAAACTTAAACTGACACAATATTGTATTAGTATTGTATCATGTATTGTTTTAGGTACAAATTGTGATACAACTGTGATACAATTCTAAATTATGATACAACTTTGATCTCATCTTTTTTAAGTTTCAATTTAAAACATCCACCTAGAACCAACTCTAAACTTAAATTATAACACAATATTATATTTTAATAGTATTAGTATTGTATCAGAATTGTCTTAGGTATTGATGTATCAAATAGAACTCAGTTACAGTTATGATACCTTTATCATACAATTGTAACACAACTCCCAAACTTCATCTTTCTCGAGTTTCACTATGAAATTCAACCTAAAACCAACTTTAAACTTAATCAATCTCTCTTAAAATTGAGATATAAACTCTAAAGGAAATTCTCAATTGTTTTCAAGGACACCCAATACAAAGAAATCACAAACTCGTAAAATCTGAATATCTAATTCAAAGTTTCGAAGCTTTTTAATGCTATGTCAATGGCAGACCCCTCTACCTGCAATTTCAGAGATAATTAAGGGTGGATTTGTCAATAGTTGAAGCTTTTTAATGGTTGTTGGTGGATTGATTCAGAGAAATATATGATGCTACAATTTTAGAGAGATAATAGTTTTATGAGAGAGAGAGAGAGAGATTGGTTGATTTGTATGAAAGACAGAATGACTTCAAAAAATTTTGAAACTGGGAGGAAAATCGTGATTGTAGAAGGCTAATTAAGGTGATAGATGTGGATGTGAGATACAGTTACAAATTAATTCCTATATTTAAGGGATCTTTCTTTTATCATATTTTATACATAAATAGTAAATATAGATACACAATGTAATTTTTAAGAAACCTAAAGAAAAGTGGTTAATAAGTTTCTAATATAGTATAGCTAGGTAAAAATCCCTAGAATTTTTGGAGCCCATTTAAAAATGAGGCTTTTAAGCCCGGCTCGAGTAAGCCCATGGCCCGTGAGGCTTGACCGAGGCTGGGCTGGGCCGGCCCGTGGGCCTAATAAAAATACGTATTTAAAATATAAAAAATATATGACACAAAAATAACAAGAAGAGTATCCCAAGCTTAAAGTTTATCAAGCTCATCATATTAAAAGATCAAAGTCTTAAAACGTTAAAATTTAATTATTCTCAATATTTAACTAATTAATATTGCATACGAATTGTAGATGTAGAAGAAAGTGACAACGTTAAGACAACTTTCTCATAAGCGGATTCAAATGTGTTTGATGAAGATGATGTGTTAGATATCCCATAAGCGTCATGGACGTTCTCTTGAATAGTTTGTTTTGAGTTTTGGCTTTTAGTAATGAAATATAGTCTTGTCTTTTACTTTTTAGTGTTTATTGTGATATATTAGAACCGTATAAAAAGTTATTAAGTTTTGTGAAATTTTTCCAATAAGATTTTTTTAACTTTTAAATATTTATCTTTTTTTAGTTTAAAAATTAAAGAAAAAAATATAATATATTTTAAAAAATAATGGGCCGGCCTGTGGGAGCTCGTAACCCACATAGGGCTGAAGTGGGTTGATCGTTATAAGGCCCATCAAAATTATGGGCTAGCCCAGCCCAGTCCGTCAATTGCTAAAGCCTACGTGGGCTGGGCTGGGCTAGCCCCGGCCCCGCCCATATTGACAGCTCTAATTTGCATGATGAGAAAATGACGAAAATGGTCCACCTATTTCCCTAATTACTGATGTACTACCATTTTTTTATCCGTTCATCGACTCCAACTGCGTCTTTAATTTGCAATGGCTGATAAATAGATAAATCTGATGTGTTTTCTTCCATTATTATATTAAAAAGTTTGAAAATGTTAATGGTCAATGACTGGATATTAAGATTGGAGAGTGAAAATGTCAATTTTTCAATGTTGGGGAGGAGATTGATTTTAAAGTAAAGTGGGTGATAGAAAATAATTTTCACTCAAACAATAATAAAGATTAAAAAGATCATGCTCAGAGTTAATTGTGTTTTTTGGAATTTAATAGTCAAAGATATGAATCAGTTATTACGATAACGGATAATCCCTTTTTATTTGGTATGCTGATCCGCATACTATTTTCCAAGTTAGCGTATAATAATAAGAATTACAAATTGTAGATTAACTTAACATAATAGTGTATAAGAATTTATACACAATTAGTGCACAAAACTTAAGATAAAATATCAAAGTATTCAAACTCTTTCATATAACTTTGGATGGTTCTGAAAACCATTCTCTGTAAAATTATCTACAATTCCTCCCCCATTATTCGATAATACTAAAGTAGCATTAAAGTTAGACACATCGAATAGTTCTCTATAAAGAATACTTCTGATAGTTTTTATTTTCAAAGATCTAAACATAATAGGCTGTTTAAATTTTATACAGTAATTATGAAGTTGTTAGCTCAAACAAAAAGCTCAGAGCTCCTGTTTGCAGTTAAATATAACAATAATCAGTGACCTCTGTTCCTAGAAACAACTCATTTTAAGTGGTACAAATTCAAGTATGACGAAATACCCCAATATAGCAGTGCTTTTGAAAGAGAGACCGCAACAGAAGTGTGACAAAGTCTGCTTCAACAAAGCGATTACTTTTTATAACAATGCTAAAAATACTAAGGCGATCAGAATTTCAACTGTTCCAATAGAAGCACAACTTTTCCAAGAAATAAACACATCTTAGGAGTATGATTCTGAGTTATAATGAACAATGAGTGTACAACCTATATTATATTGCTAGAATGTTGATGCCTTCCTACAGAAGAGCTTCCTATAGGAGGCAACTGCCTAATAAATCAATCAAGTTGAAAATTGATGATTTACTCAAAGTACAATTAGAAAGATGCTATGCTCTTTGGTGTCATTCTTTCAACTTTACCAACCCTGTGCGGAGGCCACACAATGTGGGTAACCCTTCCACGAACCAAACCCAGAGGGATCTGAAACAGAAAAAGCATTCAAGTCAATGAGTGAATACTAATCAATTGAACTACTTAGAAAGCTGATTGCAAACACAGATATAGGCACGCTTAAAGTAAATCTTTTTCCTCGCTCTACAATGACTTCCATTTATCACATTAAAGGGTCTTCATTTTGATTTGAAATGCACCTCAGAAGGTCTAGCAACGGCAGGATGTAATCTAATTTACATTTACAGACTCTAAAATGCAAGTAGTTTTGGACAGATAAAACTAAAAGATCGATTTGTTCATGTGTAACTGTAATCTTAAGATGCACTCATGAAGCAATTCATGAGAAACAGAAAAGATGCAACGAAATTACCTATTCCTCATGCAAAGGAGAAAAAATTATTGGGGTATCACTTATCAGAAATTTAAACTCACCCCCTTAACCACAAATCAGCTGGAGGCATGACGAAAGGAGTACATTCAATTCAGCAGCTTATGTCAATATGATTTCTAATTCTATTGAAACAGTACTTCCCACCAGCTAATCTTTCCTAACTTAGAGGACTGACACATATTTAGTATAGTAACTTTACAGAGTTTAGCAGATTCTTTATGTGTTAAATTCCTATTCAATCAACAGACGAATATGAAGTGATATGTAACATACAGGACCAAAAGATCTCGAGTCCAAGCTCCATGCGTGATTGTCTCCTTCAACCCAACAATGTCCTTCAGGGATCAATACTGCATCATAATGAGGTGTACTGACCAAATCACCTGGTAAGGCTGTTATTCTCTTTATATGTTTCTCTTTATGATTAGCTGGAGAGCTGAAATGAATGTCAACCAAAAATCAGATTTGATAGGTCAAAAAATATGGCCAAAAATAAGAAAACACATTAAATAATATATGAACAGGCATCTTCTCTGCTCTATCCTCGAAACAAGAGATGAAAGTATCGTACCAATAGATTTGCTACAGAATTTATCAAACATCCACCTGAATTAGAGAAAACACCATCTTAAAATATACTTTCTAATGACCTGATACTAAGAATTAACTATTGGTTTTAAAAACAAACATCTCAAATCTTTAATGGTTAGAAAAGACTCAGATAGGGGACAGAATATTTTAAACAAGGGCAGATCCTTGCTGACCACTTAAGTTTTCCTGGTCAAACAAGATCTAGCATACAGCACAAGTTAACAGTTGTCATCAACTGAAGTTAAATCAGCGCATCTTGATAAACCACCAAGAGAATCATATTTAAAGAAGAGCAAACTGTGTTTAGAGGCCATTATACTATTATGAAGAAGGCAACTTCCTCCATAAACTAAATTTCAAAGCAATTTCAGATAAAAACTTCTAGTAGTGTAGCAGACTTCCCTTTTCTTATCATTTGACCAGATTCAAAAGAGTCATGTGCTATTCACATGACTATGTACTTGGGTATACTAGACATTCAAAGGGCAACGCGATGCGAACTCCCGCTATATGCGGGGTTAGGAAAAGAGCTGGAAGACACTGGGTCTATTGTATGCAACCTTATTTCTGCAAGAATCTGTTTCCACTAGGTATACTAAACATTCCCAAAAAATAGGCAACATTAAACAATCTTTTCCTCCAAACGTTGCTAGAATTCACGAATTAAAGTTAGGAGAAGAAGGCAATTTAAACAAACTCCTTTTAACTTTTTGTACAGTACAAAGTATGAGCATGGAAAGATTCACACCAACTAGATCATACAGGGGAAACAACCTTCTTTGCAACAGTTTAAGGGCCTCTAATGCAATGTATTCTTTCAAGAACGAAGAATGATTGTTTCCACCAAAAGCACATTGAAGAGAAGAGAGATTCTGGTCTTTCATTGGATTTTCTCTTCACGAGAAGTTCTCCATAACTTAACGCATATGCATGTCTTTCCATGAAGTAACTTGATCTGACTATTCACTTAATCTAATTACTCGGCCATGGATGTATGAGCATCAACTGACTTCCAATGGGATTTTTAGGAGTAGAGTTATTGGATATCAATGAGACTATGAAAGAGTCTTGAACTATGCCAAAACAAGCAACAAAAAATATGAGACTCTATTCTTTATCAGTGGAATATGTTGTTACATCAAATATCTAAATCGGAAAAAGGATATACAAAAATTGAGTTCGATTTTATGTTGAACATTTAAACCACAACTATTTATTCCATGGTTCAGAATCTTCAGATGCAGTTAGAAACTCTCCAGATTAAAATATGGACTGAGTTCATTTCTTATTTCAACCTACATGCAAAATATATCAGCAAGTCCACCAAAAATCGAACAACCAAATTTGAATAACCCATTTTGACTTCATCTTGAAAATACATAATCTAAGTCTTCCTCTTTCCCAAAGATTAGTGAATGAATAATCTTGAAACTAAAGAGCAGTCGAGTTAATTGAACTCAACATGACAACAAGCTTGTGGCAGCTTGTCAACAGTTACCTGAACACAACCACATCGCCAAGAGAGAACTTGAATTTTTCTAGGCAAAGCTTCTCCACTATAACAAAGTCACCTGCACCACAACGACTAATGCGAAAGTTTTCATCTTTATCCACAACAGAAACGTAAGGAATGTAAAAGAGAGGAAAAAGAGTAGTTACGAGTCAAGGATCTCATGGAACTGTCATCATCTGGATTAAATGTAGGAGACATTGAAATGCCACCAACAGGGACAATACTAGCACAACGATCAGATACAGTAAGGCCTATGAGCCCAAAGGTGAAATAATTCTTAGTTAAATTCCAGAGGAAGTTCACAGTTCCCATGTTTTAGGGCTGCCTAAATCATCTGCACACATGTTCAAAACCCGAAAAGAAAGTTAAAAAATCACAAAATCATTAAGTGGCTTTCCAAATTAAAATAAAATAAACCTATACATGTTATTAGTCCTATTTTAATCCTATATTAGAAAGAAGTCGCGTTTTTAACATCGTCAAAGACTTCAATCAACTACTCAATCCCTCACTAGTCTGGATCGGCTATATGAATTATCTCTATCCATTCTGCCCATCTCATTCAACCACACTGTCATGGAATTATTTCTTTATGAGTTTAGGTAATATACACCGTCCGTGTAAGAAATTTTCATACCATCCGGTCACCTTTTACGTGTTGCACAACACGTAACTATCTTATTTTCATGATTACAAATTACACATTTTGGAGGCCTACATGTAGATATCTTTTAGGTGACCTAATAGGGTAAAAAAAATCTTTACAGTGACGGAATATATAACTTAAACTCTTTCTATAAATAATTGCAACACCAGCAATGTAAATTCGGCCCAACAAGAAGGAGCCTGTTTTATCTGTAATGTAGCTAAGCATCAACATACGCTAGGCAAGAAAATCATCAGGAATGAGTAAACTCATCAACTTATAAAAAGGAAAAAGAAGGGACAAATTTGCAGCTATTAACACAAGCTAATGTCTTTTTGGTATTTATTTTATCCTTTCTACGAGGTAACAACTTTAACTGGGAGTTCCTCTCAAATCCTCGAAGTGAGGCCGTTGAATGGAATATCCATGAGATTAAATTAGTATTCTCTAGAACTCTTACTGCAAACATTTTAATGGCAACTTCATTGTTACATGAATTGAATGAATAGAGGGAAGTGAGACTTACAGAGTATACAGAGCAGAATAAAGATCGAAAGGAAGCTCCGGCAGCCGATGACGGCCGTTGCCGACGATGAGTGATTTTTGGAAGGGTAGAGCGAAGTGGGGCTTAATTGTACAAATAGCCCTTAAAGTGATCTTGAATTTTTGTCCCCACTTATTTCATAAAACTTCTGCCTATTGAATAAGAAAAAAAAAAATTCATAGTTATATATGGAACTGTAAAATATTCCATAATCTACAACTTATTTTAGAATTACAAATATATATATATATATATATATATACTACATTCTCCAACTTACCCCTGCCATCACATTAAACAAGAATAATTAGAGGGACTTTTTCGTCGTTTTGCTCAAAAAATCAAACCCAATTTCTTCAACCTCTTTCTCGGCTGGTCTTCCTTCTGTTTCCTTGATGGTGAATTCAAATCCAAAATGCAACTGTAATGCATTGAACCAAATGGCAGATCACTTAATTTATCCAGTTGTTGGTTCTGTTGATAGTTAAAAGTCAATATTAACATTTACTGTACCAAATATGGTCCCTTTTTCAGCCTATGAGAGAAAATGAAAAAAGTATTGGACAAATTAAAAGTCGATTGCAGACTTCGCAATTCATCTTCACGGTTGCTGCTCTCGTCATGGATGAGAAAGGTCGAGCAGCATATTTGAATACTACTGGAAGTGGAAAAAGTGAGTTGCACAAATAACGAGGGACTCTTCGAAGGTTCGAAACTTTAATTCTTTGCTCTCAGATCTCAAATTTGATCTTCCATTTAAAGCCTTTTGGTATATCTGAATTGAGGGATGCTAGCACACAACTGAGAGATAAAACTGGAGATGGAGGAGGTGTATCGAGAGAAGGAATTGGAAACTTTAAGTGAAAGACGAAAAAGTCACTCTAATTATTCTTATTCAATGTGATGGCAGGGGTAATTTGAAGAACTAAAAGATGCATACAAAGCTAACCTATTACAACTATGTAGTAGGTTAGCAAAACCATATATATATATATATATATATATATATATATATAAGACATACTCTAAAAATATAATAAATTTTCTATTAAAGGGAAATGGCAATCTGAAACGTATCCGTAGTTAGACCCTAAAAATTCTCCAATTTGTTAATTATTGATTACCACTATAAACATATTAGGTTACCACATATGAAAATTATCCTATTCTTCCATTGTATCTCTTTCTGATTCTCCAACTTGGTATACTTGAAGTAGGATATTGTACTTAAGAAACAATGGTGACTATACCAACTCTGATTCAATACTAATGGATATATATATAT